TAAGAAAAGTGGCCCATAGTTATATTTCCAATTCATTTAGTGGCATGTCTCTAAAGGCATTTTCAATTAGCTGCATTTTCTTTGTATTTTCTAAACTTTTTAAAGTAAGATCAAGCTCTTAAAACAATATTAGATTGCTATAACTTCAGTGAAAGATTTTTCTTTTTTTTAATATGGGATTTCCATCTCCTGGTGAAGGACTTTTATTTTTTTCTTTAATAAAAAGTGATGGCTAAGGAAAAATCAGTAAGAATGTTCTACAACAATCAAACTTAGTCACTGCAAACAGAGTAAAATTATACTGGGAGGAAAGTTACAAGTAACTTTAGTAAGTGGGAAAGATTTTCCTTCTAAGTGTGCAGCTGAAATTTCTGCCACTGATCAGGCCACCCTCCCCGCCTACTTCAAGGAAAATATCCAGGGTAACATTAACATCATTACACAAAACACTTCGATACTTTCCAGAAATAGAGAGTTCTAGAGAAAATTCAGAAACCATATGAAAGAGAAGCAGATCTTCATTACATCCTACATTATTTTCCTTTGCAAGAAAACACAAATGATGAGAAAGTAGGAACACACCAATACATCAGATGGTAGCAAGATCAGTAAGCGTTTCCCCAGAGGCAAGAGAACAAAATATTCTGGGGGGTGACCAGGGGTGGGCCGACAGCCGCACAGCACCCTGCAAACTGGGCTGCTCCCTGGAAAGGCCTGGAATTGTTCCTAATTGCTACTAAGCTCCTCCCTGCCATTTTCTTTGGTGCAGATTTGAAATTTTCATCACTCTCATCAGGTCACCCCCCCACCACCACCACCACCACACACAGACACACTCTTGAAGGAAAACATCCAGGTTAACTTTAACATGTTGACTCAAGGTAAATCAATATCCACACAAAACACATTTTAAGATGCTCAGAGGAACTGAATTGAGCATTTTCAGAAAAATGGCAAACAAGTACATGAAATAGTGCCTAGCACCACTAGTCACTAGGGAAACACGCATCAAACCACAAGGAGTAGCACCTTGCACCTGTGAGGATGGCTGTCATCAGAAGGTGGAAACACACAGTGCACTGCTGGGGGGAATGTGAATAGGGCAGCCACTCGGCCCAGAAGATTAAAAATAGAGCTATCACGGAAACCCTGTGAGCATGTACATGAAGCAAAAGAAAGCACTATTTTAAAGAGTCATCTTACCCCCATGCTCATGGGAGCTTTTTTATTTACAACAGTCACAACAGGGAAACATCCTACAACCCTAAGCACCCACTGGCAGATGAACAGACAACAAAATGTGAGCTATCAATCTAACATCTCTCAGTCGGTCGGCCATCGTCGATCGGCCATCTGCATGTCACGTATCTCTCTATGGCTGCATCTAGCTAGCTAGGTATGTAATGAGCAGCGCGAGGCATAAGGCAGCAGCCAATTCTGCCACTGCCAGCAACAGGGATGGACCCGGAGGGCTTCGTGCTCTGGGAAATGAGTCAAAGACAAACAAGTACTGTATGACCTCACTTAAGTGCGGATTCTAAAAACATGTATTTATAGAAACAGAGCAGGTTGGTGGTTCTGGAAGTTGGGAGTCAGGAGTAGGAAAATGGGTGCAAGTGATTACAATTACAACATAAATAGTTCTGGTCATGTCATGTCCAGTCTACTTCTCTGGTGAACAATGGTCAACTGTGTATTTGAAAGCTGTTAACAGAGCAGATCTTAAAAGTTCTCATCACAACAAAACAAAATTGTAACTATATGTTGTGATGGTTAACTTCATGTATTGTGGTAGTCATTTCTCAATCGTTACATATATAAACTCCTAAGTTGTATGCCTTAAATTAAGAGTTCTATTCCAACTAGAATTAGAATGTTCTAAACAAAAAACAAAGAATAGCCATTTTGCCATCTCCCCCACCATTCACAAAAGCCAACGGCATCTCTTTCTGCCTAACCATCTTGGCAAAAGCATAAATACTGTATGATCTCACTTATATGTGAGTTCTAAATATATATATATATAGAGAGAGAGAGAGAGAGAAACAGACGTAACCTAATTGAAACTTAGGCCAGTAGAATTGACTCTCCTTTCTGCTTTTAAACACCTTGCGTAAGCAAGTCATTTTCCTTTCTGCATTTCCAAAAGCTTTTGGAGTAAACATGCTCAATTTTCAGTGTTTTCAAAACAAAACTAGCAAACAAATAATACACACACACAGAAACACCGCAACTACCTTTCGCCATAGGTCAGCTCATGAGTTCCTGTCTAAAAGACCACCTCGTCTCCCTTCTTGAATGGTTAACTCTTATTCAACGTTAACTTCTGGAACCTCACCCTGGCCACCAAGTCCCACGTTTAGTCATGCAAACCCTGTGTTGTGCTGCGGTTGCTGTTTATCTTTCTAGAGACTGAGGAGTTTGAGGTGTCCAAAGCGCTGGGTGGCTCCTCTCTGAGTCACCAGCGTGCAACACAGTGAGCACACAGAACAGAACAGGCATCTACTGGACTCACTGGACAGATGAGGAACCACGAACCTCCTTGACTCAGTGCATACCTCCCCCTCCCGCCTTCTGCTCCAGCATGAGAAGGTTCTGTATTTGAAACTTTGAGCTGAAGTTTATAGGCACCATCTTTCGCTCCACCCTCTGTCACATAACTGGTGACGATTTGTTAACACTCTTTTAGATACCACCCACTAAGACCTGTGGACCTAGTGTTACTTATTTTCCCCTTAGGGCAACTATGATACAGAAAGTCTCAAAAATATTTAAAGTAAAGAGAACAAGGAAGGAAAGAAGATGGACAATTTTCACCAGGAGGAGAAGGATGAGTTGTAGGGAGGATTTGCATCCCACTGTGAGGTGAAAACTGTGGACATAAAAGTTGTCCAGTCCAACACCTTACTTGATTTGATATGATTAATTAACTGTAGGTAGAATTAAATGAAATACAAGTTCTTTCTGAAACTCCCCAAACTCTTTGGAGTTCATAACCTCATTTCACGACAGATCCACTTTCACCCTTTATCTCCAGGGTAGGTAGTATTGGCCCTTAGAATAGGACTGCATGATTTAGGTGTCTTAGGATACATGCAAAAATGATGTGAAAGTACTGCCCTTCCTGGTGGCACAACAGGTTAAAGCGCAGGGCTCTGGCGCTGTCCACAGCCACTGCAGCACGAGTTCAATCCCCGGCCAGGGAGCTGACCCACGAGGCGCAGCAGACCTCTCCTGTCTCCCGCTGCTCCCCTCAGCAGTGCATTTCAGTCCTTCTGCATGTTCTGCTCCCCAGTCTCTGGTGAATCCTCTCACCCCCTACCCTGCACTACCTTACTCTGTACCCCAATTCTTATGTGCATAAATAAATAAATCTCTTTAAAAATGATGTGAAAGTATTACAGTGCTTTTGTCCAGGTCTTTTCAGGTAACAGAGCATTACCACACACATAAATCATTTATCCCAAGAACTAAGCAAAGAGGTACTGTTATTTTCACTTTACAGTGGAGAAAAATGGAACTTCAGAGAGTTTAAGAAGTGTGTGCGCTTTGGAGCTGTGAATAAATTGAAGAAGAAGGTAGAGGCAAATGGAAGAAATATTAGATTTGCTCTTTTGAAAATGCTTCAGTGGGAGAAACACAGTGTTAATCAGCCGCAACAAATACTTATTCAGCATTTACCTCTTGGAGCCCAGCTCTGTCTCCACCGTGATAGAATTTTATCAAAAGAAAAAGAATGCCTCACTTCACAGTTATTCCGACAGCAATTTTTTTGAGACATGGACGTTTTGAGTAATTTATTCCCAGAATATTTTGAAATTTAGGGTGCAGGAAAGTAATTGTTAACTATTTAACATCTAAGGCAGTTTGCACACTACTTTCTTGGTAAAACACATGACATACAGAAGTGTTTCCTTCTGTGTGTGTGTGCGTGTCTACATGTGTGAGTTTCTATGTGGTGTATTTTGGAAGATTCTGGGGGAAAGAAATGTATTGACTCAGGAACAACACTGCTCTATATCACCCAGTATCCTTGCTTCTGTCTGTCTTAAACTGGGGGACCAAGAATCCCAGCCCCTTTTTGACTTATTTTGATCATTTTCTCTTACTAGTTGCTATTTTAATGTTTTTATGTAGCCTTTCTCCTGACAATTTAGAGAAGCTAAAATACCTTCATTTTCATAACAGAGTGATGAACGAGAGTGATTTAAGAGATCTTTTTGTGTCCTGCCACTGAAATGTGAAAATTTTTTAAAATATGGCCAGAACTGAAACTGAGGACTACAGCAGTGAAAATACTTTCTGCACCCATGCCATGATATGTTTTTTTTTTTAAAGATTTATTTATTTATGCACACAGAGCTGGGGTACAGGCCACAGGTGCAGGGGTGGGAGAGGATTCACCAGAGACAGAGTGGGGAGCAAAACAGGCAGATGGAGTGAAATACACTGCTGAGGGGAGCTGCGGGCGAGTCAGAAGAGGTCTGGAGTGCCGTGTGGGTCACCTCCCGGGTGGGGACTGAACTCATGCAGAAGTGGCTTTAGCTTCTTAGTGCTGTGCTGTAACCTGCTGCGCCACCCGGGAGGGCCCGATCTTGTGGATGACTTTTAACTCTGCGTTTTAAGAAACATTTTTATCGGTTTATTTCCTTGGCAACAAATAAGTATTGCTAAAAAGATTTGCAATTTTGGCATCACTGCTTTGATGACATATTTTTGATGTTATATAAATATACGTATATAGACATATAACATATATACACACAGCAAGTAAATTATTGCTTTTTTTATATCACATGTACACACATAGAAAGTAAATTACTGTGTCAAATAGATGTGATTAGGAATAAAACTTCCATTCATAATGCGCCCCTAAGGAAATTTTGTCCCCATCTAGCTACAATCTGCATTATTCTGATGGAAAGCAGGAATGTCTTAGCATTCTTGTTTTATTTCCCAGGACCACACACTGGAAGGCAAGCCGTGCAGAAGGTCCTTACCCACTCTTCCTCATCGTAGTCAGAATGGTGTGGGATGGAGTCCTGTCTTCCCACGGGTGGGGATGCACCCTGGGGACTGCTATCTTCTGCGCCGTCCTTAGGAGAAGGTGGTTTCTTAAGCACTCCTCCTGGTCTCGCAGTGTAAAGTGCTAAAAGTGCGCTCCTGACCAGCTGATCCTTGAAGGCGTGGACAAAAAGCTCTGTCTGGAAAGAAATTGGTGAGGATTAGAAACACCCAGCATGGAGCTATGAAAAGGTCAACTGCAGTTTTGTTGCAACTTGAGCTTGCCGAGGATGGAAAAAGAACAGGCAGAGGAGAGAGAATGATTCATACCGATCAATGGGAAATCGTTGAGTTTGGAGCAGCTGCCAAGGCCTGAGCCCTCCTGTTCTAAAAGTTAATGCTCAGGTTCCACGTGCGCTCCAAACACCATCTGTCTCTCAGTGAGTTCCAAATCCTGTCTTTGGAGATAAATTTCACTGGGGATACTCATCTGAAGAATGTGCACTTGCTCTGCCTTTCAATACAACTTAAAGACATGATCAGACTATGTACAGTCCACATTTTAAATGGATTTAAAGGCTGAAGAGAGAAAGAAATATTTCCCCCCCCAAATGGAGGCAGATGATATTTGTTTTCTTTTATGGAATCATGGCAGATTTTAACAGTAGAGATGACAGGGGCAGTCGGTCCCATGACAACATTTGGCTTTTGTTCCTTATCGTCGCCCTGAAAACCATCTCTTCCACCAAATGGTTGTCGTAATGCTCTGTGTTAAAGAGGTGATCATGAAACTCGCCCTGGTAGATTTTACCAGCTGGTGGTAAATACCTACTGAGTACTGAAGTAATGGCAGCTCCCAACCATTAAGAACTTTACAGCTGTACTTTGCAGTTTTCTGATGAAATGTTTAATAGCTTCGCCCTGTAATCTACTGGGGAGTGCAGTAATTGCTTTTCTGTATTATAGTATACTTGACATGCGCACAGCCTGACAATCTGTTCAGACAACAAGTAGAGAAGCAATTCAAGCGTTGACCCATATTGCTAATCTATTTATATTTTGAAGTCTGTTAGGAGGAGCCCTTTAATTCATGGCATTATTTTGAATAAGAGCTGATCTAACATTACCACTTGACCAGCCACTCTTGGATATAATATAATGCTGACCTCGCCATGGCTGTAACTCAGGATAATCATTTCTGTACTCCACCACACCACTCACAGCACCACACCTCAACTAGTGGTGATGAAATTGTCTTAAATCTCCCTGTTGTGAGCATCAGCAATTCAAGAAAACCAGGTAAACCACATCTAAAAACAAATGTCTGGTAAAACTGTTGGACATGTACATCTGTCTTTGCAACTGATCACTGAATTCTAGGGCTGGAAGGACCCTTGAAATGAGCCTCTTGATTAGCCAGACCCAGAAGCTAAGAAGCAGCCAGTCACCCTAAGACAGACTGAATTGGCAACCCAGTTGAAACAGATCTCATATTTTGTAACAAAGTCAGTAGTGTTTTCATTTATTTCACAGCACCTACGGCCATCATCAGCCCACTGCTTTCTGTCCTTCTTCTTCTTCCCTACCACCAGTTTCCCGAGTGTTTAAGCATGTGTAGTTCTAATAACTGGTCATGTACCAAACTGCTGTGTTATCATCTTCTCTGACAAGCTTTACTGGAAATTGTAAATACTCTTGGACCTACTGTCTTGATCCCTTTTCAATGATGTAAGGAGACAGTGCATTGTGAATTGTAATATGCATTTACTTTTCTGAGCACAATAAGACTAACTTTTCACTTCAGGTATAACACAACTGTGAAGAAGGGATATAATTTCCCTGCTCACAAAACTTTCAGAAAGAATACATCTTTTAACACTATATGTCTATCTGTAAAAAGGGTGTTTGTCCTAGGTTTCTTTACTACAAGAAGAATAAAAAGTAAACCCATCAGACATAGTGACGATGCTTTGAAGAGAAGTTGATGAGAAAGATAAAAAATACACAAAAATAAGATATTAGCAAATACTCGATAATAAATTAGAAAATCAAAATTAAAAAGGTAATTTTTTTGAAAAGGAATGAAAAGAAGTGTTAATTGATGGTCATGATAAAGTGTTAAACTGAGAATGGAAGTTATAAAAATACTGATGAAATAAATTGGCTAGATAGCCCTCAGGCAAGTTAGCATAGTTGTGGCAAAATGTGGAAACATTACTTACATAATATTTAATGTCACAAGGCTATATCCATCAATGTGAATTTCAATATTAAAAATGTGACTTTACTTCCATTCAGCTTAACCAAACTATTTATCTGTTAATAGTTTCAATAAATTCTTTTGATTTATTTTTAGAGCAAGGCAGCTTGTCGCCCTTGAATCCTGCTCATACAGCTCCAGTCTCCATAACACACACATAATTACTGTGTTGCTGAATATCTAGTGAAATCTTCTGTGGTGCTTATAATCAACATAATTTTCTTCCCGCTGCATGCACACACACAGAAATCCCTCTTCATGTATTTAAAACTTACTTGGGCTTATTTTATCAACAAAGGCATGAGAGATCATGCAGTAGGTTCTATAGGTTTGCAATGTAAGGTTTTGGGTGCTTAGCTGATTCTTATACAAAAAAAGAAAGAAACACAATAGTAGCTGATTTTTACTTCATCTTGATACTGAATATCTATACTGCTTCCTTGGAATTTTTGTGGATCAGGAAGGTCCTACATTGAGAATCACATTCTGTTAGAGCATAGTGACTCATTCCATATGTATGGCATATCCAAGACTAAACTGATGGAAGTGGATGGAAGATAAATGAAAGAATACAAATGATTGCTAAATACTGGAAGACCTCTATGTCTTTATTGAAAGGGTTGCTGCATAAAGATGGTCTAGGAACTCAATCTCATTTTACATCAACGAGCCGTGATAACTTTGGACTTGAAGTTTCACTTAGACTTGAAGTTTCTAAGAACCTAGTGACTGAGGGAAGACTTGCCTTGTGTCTACAGTGTTTTCACAGTTTTCATGACACATTCGACAATGTAAGATAGTGGTTAAGCTCACACATTCCGGAGCTCCATTCACAAGATGTGTGATTGTGGGTGCATTATATAGATGTGCCTGTGCCTCAGTTTCCCCTACTGTGTAGAATGGTATTAATATAGCCTCTCTCCATAGGATTAGGAAGATTCAATGCTAAAGTTAATAGCACTCACTTCATGGAATTGTGAACATTTAAGACTTTATATGCACACAGTTTTGAAGCCTCCAGTAAATGCTAATACTGCTGCCATCGTTACTACCATAACCGTCACCATTAAGAACCTTGAATCTCTCGGGATTAACAAGACTGTGTCTTGTTTCTTTTTGTGCCTTTAGTGTCAGGAATGGTGGCTAGCAAGTAGTGTGGATTCAGTAGTTATTTTTACTTTTCATAAAATGTATGTATTATTTCTCTTTCCACCAATATCAGAGGAATGACATTTCCTCGGAACGTTAGTCCTGTGGCTTGGTTTTGGTAGCTGTAGAGAAGATGTAAATCGCCTGTAGATCTACAAATACTGCCTCTACTGAGACTCTGAATATGCCCTATTAGCAAGTTGCTTCTTGGCTGCCCTGGCTTTCCCCTGGGCTCTGGGTGTATACTGAAATGCTATTGTGTCCATTACATGATCTCCAGATATGATGTCACTGCCTCCTTGAGCAGTACCCAGGGCTGTCCTCAGTCTCCTAAGCACACCTAGTCCACTCCAGCCCACTCCACTCTGTCCTGCCACGCAAGGCCGTAAGCCTTTAGCGTTCTCTGAGAAACATGCACATAGACAACTCCTACTTTATACTGAAAGTGCTGTAGAGATGAGTTCTATGAAATCTACTCTTATTTTCTCAGCAGACCAGTTCAGAATCAAAGAAACAGGAATACATCAACAAAAAGAACTTTTATTTTCTTCTTATTTTTAGTTAATTTATGTGTTTATATTCTTGTTCATTTTAAAAGAATGTTTTCCCACTCACCTTTGCCCTCCTGTCATCAAGAACTTTTATTTTCTAATCCCCAGTGGGCAAGAGCTTAAAAATAAAATATTTTAGGCCCTCCCTGGTGGTGTAGCGGGTTAAAGCACAGCACAAAGAAGCTTAAGCCGATTCTGCATGAGTTCGATCCCCACCTGCCCCAAGGAGATCCACATGGTGCGGCAGACCTCTCCCAACCCGCCCACTGCTCCCCTCAGCAGTATACTTCATTGATCTGCCTGTTCTGCTCCCCACTCTGTCTCTGGTGAATCCTCTCACCCTCCGCATCTCTGGCCTGTACCCCAGTTCTGTATGAATAAATAAATCTTAAAAAAATAATAAAATAAAATATTTTAAGCTTTAATCTTACTAATATCAAATTATATGAAGATTTAAGATGCCATTAAAACTATCTCTTCCATGCTAAATTCATGAATCAAACTCTATTCTACATCCTGAACTTCTGTATTCATAGAAAATTAAAAGTTCTGTTAACTTAGATAATATTTTGAAATTTCAGGCAGGAAGGCCCTCCCTGGTGGTGCAGCAGGTTAAAGCACAGCACTGGAAAGCTGAAGTCACTTCAGCATGAGTTCAATTCCAGCCCCAGAGGTGACCCACATGGCGCAGCAGACCTCTCCTGACCCGTCCACTGCTCTCCTCAGCAGTGTTCTTCATCAATCTGCCTGTTCTGCTTCCCACTCTGTCTCTGGTGAATCTTCTCGCCACCCCTGCACCTCTGGCCTGTACCCCAGTTCTGGATGCATAAATAAATAAATCTTAAAAAAAAATTCAGGCAGGAATTCTTGAAAGACTAGATGGTTTGCAAACTTAAATTTAAAAAATATCCTCCTGATGTCAAGGAATGACAGACTTGCTAGAAGATGAAGTTTGTCTACTTAGTAGACAAACATAGGGAAAAAGTAAGAGTGATTTTGGATGAAAGGAGGAGAGAAGACACCTTATGCCCCCAAAATCATGGCAGCAAGTTGTAACTGACGCATGAATGACAAACCCCTGCCCAACGCCCAGGAAGAATATAAATACTGCTTGGCAGTCACTGCTGTGATGTGTTGCTTGATAAAATTTTCTGCTTAGGTGAGTCCAGAAATACCTCATCTCATCTATAATTCCAAAATACAAATGGGTCAAAATGAAATCGTTATGTTTGCTACATGCAATTATTTGTATTGTTTCCTCTTCTCTCCCAGTCACGATGCAAGGTGACTACTGGAATATTTAAGGATTGGTGAGGGGTTTTCTAACAAGAGTTTTTAAAATTTTCAAAAGGTAAATGCTAAAACACATCTATCAAATGGAGGACAACAGAAAGAGATCCTACACACGGTCGGTGAGGCCTGACTTTGAAACCTGACTTTGTCAGAATCCTGAGCTTGCCTCTATCTGCCTGATTTTGCACATCAGTCAACTTCTTTGAGCTGCAAAGTTTTCCTCTGTGGAGAGAATATATACCCATGACATGAAGAGTAAATGAAATATGAAGGTTACAAAGCTCCTGGCACAGCATAGTACTAACAAAATCCAGGTCAATGTGTTCTTCCTTTCCTTAATGAAGTACTTGTCTGTCACAGAAAGTTGCATTTCAAACTGGAACTCTTGAGTTTTAATTATTCACTTTTTAATTTTTGGATATTTCACTTGACTTTTCTAAATAGATATTAGCTAATTTTGGGTGAAAATAGATATGAGTTTCATTCAATGAAAGAGGGAATAATATGTTAAAACAGTGTTAGTGTCTATTGTAAATGAACATATCCGAATCAAAATTATACACACACATAGTAATGGCCGGGTTTCTCTGACTCACTGCTCTGTTACCTTTTTCTAAAATGACACTGGTGGGAGAGGCAAGGGGAGGGAGGGTGGAGGCCCTCTGATCTACTTCTTCAAGGGCCTATTGACTGGAAGTATCTCACAATAAACTGCAAAATATCCTCAGAATGCAGAGAATGGGAGGAGAAAATACAGGCATTGGATGTTAGGTTACCTACTTTTACATTTAAAATCAAGTTACAATTTGTCTTTTTCCATCTTGCTTGTCTTCTCTGTATCGTTCAGGGACCCTAGCTAGTCATGGGGTTGATGCTGAGGGTCACCCCATGGCAGAACATTCTTCCTTGTTTACACACAGCTGCCGCTCACCTTTAGAAGTAACTAGGCCCCATAGCATTTCAAATGACTAAAGCACATTTAGAAGTATCACCTCCTCTGCCAGAAGGTAAGTTAGAGAACAAACTGAGGCAGAGGAATTAGCCTTTGCCCCTGGGAGGAACCACCCAGCACTGTGCTCCCCAGGGAAGGGGTGGTCCTGTACAAGTGTCTCACTTCCTGCCTGAAAATAATGTTCAAAACTAGAGGAAAATAATGTTCAAAACTAATTTATTCACTTAATAAGACCATGAACCATAAAAAATGAACTATGTCAAGAAAAAGAGAAAATATATCTCAACCAAAAACAGGTTTCATTTCCTACCAGGACAATAAAATTAAAGCTGGGTAAGATCTGAATAGAGAATGAGGCCAATTTATTTTGGTCCTGTGGCAATACTTGCAAGCTCACTTTTTAACCTAGTCCATTTTACACTTCCAGATGCTAGGGAAGGCAGTGCATGCAGAAAGCAGCACCAGTGGGGATTTGGGGGTTTCATTTCCCCCACCGCTGTGATGATGTGGATCTTACTTTTTCTGAAAGCATCTTTAAAGAATTCTTCAAGCTGTCTGGACAATGCTGGCTGGCAGAATGAAGCAGGAAGTCTGCATGGGTCGCTATCAGAGGCTGCAGCTGATTGATGTTGCTGAGAACTTCTTTGGCTTTGGCTGTGTTTTCAGGTGAATAGTAAATAAACTGATATCCAGTACTGCAACAAGAAACATAGAGGCAAGTTACACCAATGCAGAAAGAATGCACACCCTTTAAGGCCAGGAGGCTTCATATCATTCCTTCTGATTGATAAGTACCTTAAGATTTGTTTCTCACAATATTAAAAGTTTGTAAGACAAGTATTGAAACCCCCTAATTCAATTTCTTATTTTGGAACATCAGATTCTAATAAGAAAAATTAACATCTGCCACCTCTGCCCTTCCCTTTACCTACAGATTTTCAGGAGAAAGTCTGAGTTTCTTCAGGGAGCAAATATTCCTTTGCAAGCATATAATGGATAGTTCATTCTTTGTGTCTTTGCACAATAAGGACATGTCTCAGTCGCTGAGACTATTTAGAAGATTGGAATGAGAAGTCCAAGGGGGTGCAGGCTTGTGAAGGCTAAGAAACACATCATGAGTCTGAGACACTCAGGAAAATTTACTCTCAGTTTTTACTTGGAGACTTTAAGCATCACAAGCAAGAGGTTAAAATAAAAAATTCCTTAACTACTTATTATACACATTTTAGAGTAAATAAAGAAGACTGAAAAAAGGCAAGGAGAGGAAAGAAACAATAGTTCTCATCAATTATCAGTGTCTCTACTCCTCTAATCTCAAGCTAGAGTGTGCTGAAGCACTTAAAAAATCATGTACTGATGCCCCCCTCCCTCCTCTGTCTCAGACTGCACATAAAGTTTAATCCACAAGGAACTTCGTCAATCAAACAACTCCTTTTTACTTGTGCTAAGAAAATGATTATCTACAGAGATTGAAGTGTCACAGGTGGGGATAACTCTTGATGCCCAGCATCTCTGAGAGTTGAGAAGGGGACTTACTACAGACCCAACATAGAGGAAATGCCTGGAGCAGCTGCTCTCTGATCTCTTTTCTCTGATCTCTTCTGTCATTATGTTTGCTTTCTGGTGTCATCTTACAGGCACTGAAAATCTTATACCACTTAGATCCTGGAAAACTGCAGCTCACAGAGCCTTGGTCCTCCATCTTCCCTTCACGTAACTGTCTGCTTTTTGAGTCTGTCCTTCTAGACCTCCGTGTGTACTCCCTGCCAAGCATTTTTTTTATTATTATTTCTGTTATCATTGTCTTCCTTCTTCATCCAGAACATACTTTCCTGGCAACTCACTGTTATTTTATTCCTGTACATTGTCTACTTTCATTATTTTTTCCTACATATTCTTTACTCTGCAAATTTCCTCAAGTCTCCTCTCCACTTGAGTCTATCCTATACATTTTCAAGATTTATTTCTCCTTATATGGATCCTAATTCAGCAACACTCAAATTCTTGCAGATACATGATTCACTTGAGGATGGGTGTTTATTTTAGAATGCAGATTCCTTAGCAACACCAAGAAATTCTGCTTCAGTTATAGCATTTGTCACCAGCACATCCGGGAATCCTGAAGCAGGGTAACAGCTGAGCACTTTTAGAGACAACTGCTCTCTTGTCTTGATTGTGAGATCTTATCTAAACCTTTGATCATGTCACATGATGAGTGACATAAGTTCCTTATTGATATGTTACATCAGTTTGAAGTTATTTATCCTTAACTTACTCAAACTTTTGTAGGCTTGTAAAGAGCTATTATTACTGACTATCTTTATATTCAGCAATTACTTCTGTTCCCTTCTTATTACCAATGTTGCCTTCTCTAATCTTTTTCATCCTCCTTTCATCATTTTTTCTCCCAATAAACTCCTTTCATTCTCTTTTTCTCGCCCCCCCCCAACATTCTTGAGCCACCATCATGGACATAAACATAACTTCTGCCCCAGTTTCCAAGTCAGTCCTGCATAGCAGAGTTAGGTAGCAGGCATTAGTGCTTCCGATGAGACATTTAAGGATGAGCTTCTTACCTAGTGAGGCTGAAAGATTCATTTTCTACAATAAAAACCAATGTCGGTGTGTCTGGGATGAAATAGTATAGGATGGGGGGGAAATCACCACCCACAAAATAATTTTAAGCATACATAAATTTTATCTACCTATTCAATGCCTTACTCTTTAAACATGTCATATATTTTAATAGTTATAGCTTTTTAAATGGAAAGTTAGGAGTATAATTTAATTATTGAAATAAAATGAATATCGCTGAAAACTCTATTTTATAGTAGTCTGAAATTTAAAGCAAGGCCAAACACTTGACTCAACTATTAATCAGACAAAACCAGAAGAAACCAAGTATTTGTTTGGGTTAAAAATAAAGGATATAAATAATATAGCCAACCATGAGTAATTAAAAGTATTTTCATAGTATGTGCCTACTGATGACACAGTAAAATAAAATGAATATATGCACATACTTTACTACATATTTATATTGTTGATGTCAGTGTAGCTAGAATACTGCACATACTCATAGATGTATTTGCATCTTGTTACGAGAGGTGTCATCTTAGATCAAAAAATAAAGCACATAGTCAAATGACACTCAGTCCACAAACTTTAATTGCTAACCAAAACATAATTTCAACAAGGACTTCAGTTCTCCTGGTGTCTCTTCTATCTTGTCTCTCTGGTCCTGTCATGTCTGATGCCTGTTTTATTTAACCAAATTACCCTTTCTACGCAATATCACTATTCAGTTTAGTGGTTTAAACAGTTCAGCTGTGTTCATGATAACCATTCCCACATGTGGTTTAGGCCTTTCCTCTAAACTCCAATGAAAGTCAAGCCTCCTCCTGATGGCCTCAACTTGTGCAGACCCAAACTGAGCTCCTGAACTGCTCCCCATTTCCGACAACTCCTCTCAGTTCAGGGCCAATTCATTTATATTGTTTATGTTTTTTTTTCTACTATTCTTATTTTTGTTCAAGTTTCTGAAATTTCTTCCTTTCTTTCAAAGTATCTGCAGAATCTGATCACTAATTTCCAGACCCTGGCTGCGACCAACCTACTGTGCCACCATCAGCTACCCCAGGGGTATTGCAGCCACTTACAAACCAGCCTCCCCCTCAGTCCTTTCTCTGTGACACTGAAATCCTTGACATCTGCTTATGTTTGAAGGAAGCAGGAGGCAGATAAAGCAAGAGAAATAAAGCCTCTTTTTCTTAGCTCCCTGCCTGCATTCTACTTCTTGGGACTTGCTTACTGGTTATCCGACCCTCCCCTCCGCCAAGCCCAACACCACTACTACCTAAAGGGAACATTTTGAAGCCATTTGCACAACTGATTCATTTTGATTCAATTTGTCACCAAAGGACATTTCCCTATTGGTTTTGATTGCAGTGGCTCTTACCCACTTTCAACCTGCTAGTTCTAGCTGCAATTCATTGGCCATTATTTTTTTTTCCTACATACACCCTTTTAAGCCCCATTCTTGCCCTAGTAAAAATGGTAATTGAGTCAGGAATAAATAGAGATGAGAGGTGATGAGCAGACAAGAAGGTGAAAGGGCCCAGCCAGGTGTCGATACTGACGAGCGTGGTTAAAGATGCTGAAGTCACGTGCTTCTACCCTGTGGCAGAACTGAATCTCCAGAGAGAACTCCAAGGGTTATTTCCACTTATTTTTCCCCAACTCAAGCACTACTTGTGAAATAACAATCTCTTGAATCCAGAGGGAGGGATGGCATGCATTCAGTTCTCACTGAGAAAAAACCACATGGCTAATAGATGAAAATTTACACCTTAGTGCACTTGAATATACTCTTCTGGCTTCACAGGGCTTAACAATGTGCATGAAATTGTAGGTGAAAGCGCACTTCTCTGCTCGTTCCTCTGCATCCTTTCCATGTTTGCCAGAAGTGTGACTAGGGAAAGAACTAGTAGGAAGCCACTATTTGTTTTGTTTACCTCCTACAGATTTCACCTACATAATTAAACAAGTGCTTATTTAAGTTTAAATTGGTTATCTTTAAAACAAGTCACAAGTACTGGTTTCATAGAAGTTTTAGAATAAAGAGTGTTTTGAACAAAACCTGAGGTGTCCTTTTTCTCTGTATCAGCCAATGTTAATTAAGAGAAAAGAAACCTGAAAGTCATTTCAGTTCAACTTTCCCTTAAAGAGAATTTGCCTTTTGGTTTTGATCACATTGGCTCCTACTATCTATCTCTAGTTTATGTATGTATTCTTCTCAGTTCTCTCCTGCCCTAATAAATTAGTTTCAAGTATATTAATGTGACCTTCAAATGGAAAAAGTCCAATGTGTTTTCACTTCCTTTTATTGTCCATTTCTATTGTTCTTTGAATTCATTTGCCCCGATTTCCTTCACTAACTTCCCAGAGTCTGGTCAATTGTATTGCTGCTTATTTGCCTTCTGATAACTCCATGCTCAGTCTTCTATGAAGGGATGATGGGGTGACGTCCAAACCAGGCCTTCTGACTTCCTCCCATCTCAAAATCTAGACCACATGCCTTCAGGTGCCTGGTCAGAGCACACAGTAAGATAAGGTACCAACAAGAGAATCTATTCACAAATACAGTGCAAAGGAAAATACTGACTTAGTTGCAAATGACCATTATCTTTTGGGGATAAGGGAAATGCCTGAAAAGTGGACCATGAACACAGCCTACTCCACCCCCAATCAATCTGATTTTTTTGTGGAGGGTCTTTAATAGAGTCAATAATTTAGACCGTATAAATTGAATTAATAATACAAATGTTAATTCAATTCCTCCCCATGTTAGTAATTAATAATAATTGGATTTATATTAGGGGTTTAGCATTATGTTTTTAAGGGATTTTTTAAATTTTTGATCGTCAGAAAAACTGTTGGAGAACAAATGTACTCCACTATCCAGATACAGAGAGGTTGATGCCCGGGTGGTTTAAGCAACTTGGTCCAGTCACACACCTAGAGGAGATGGTAGAGCCATGGCCCAAATTATTACAAGTCTTAACTGTTATACACAGCTTCAACTATTCACTATGTTTTACTACCTCTTAAACTTGGTATTGATTGCCCCATTCTAAATTGGGGAAAATGACAACAGATTTTATTCAGGAGCATATTGGTAGGTATAGCCAATAAT